AAAAAAAATATTACATTTTTGTAATAATCCGTGGAAGCAAGACTAGGGCAGCTAAGGTTGTAAAGAAACAGAATTATTTCGAAAAGTGCTCCAATGAGCATCAGTCAGTTCTTTTGTAGGAGATATCCCACAAGACTAGGTGTGAAATGAGAATTGCCTTATCAAGACACAGGCTACCTGCTGAAGGGAAGACCAGGCAGAGCTCTGGCAGTCATATGGACCCAAAGTCACCAGTTTGAAAGCTTAGAAGGCCCTAAGAGCATGTCCTCATGGGACATGTACTGAGTCGTAGGTGTACAGAATTATACGGAAAGCTTTGAGAAGGAAGAATGAAATTATATATGATACTAAAAAAACAAAGACTCAGGGCCAGGGATTTAGTTCAGTGGTTCTGCTGCCTGCCTCACAGGAGCAAGGTCCTGAGTTCCATCCCTGGTACAAAAAAAAAAAAAAGAAAAAGAAAACAAAGACTCTCAAGGGGAGATGGTCTGCCTCAAGACATCCACCAAATTGTGAAGTTGTATGAAGACCGTCTCAGTTACTTTTCTTGTTGCTGATACAAAGTACCCAACACCAAAAGTAAAAGAAAGAACAGTTTATTTGGCTCACAGTTTGTAGAGGTTTCAGTCCACAATTGGCTGGCTCCAAGGCAGGGTGGGATGGCACACAGGCATTCCAGAGGAGAAACAGTTCATGGCAGGAAGAAGGTAGCAAAGCAAGCAAGCAAGGGGCCTTAGCAGCCTTTTTGTGCCCATTTTATGTTCTATCTAGGCTACTAGGATTGGGTCAGTACAAAACCAATCAGTGGACTGATTTAGCAATCACCCACCTTTAATCCTAGCACCCTTAATCCTAGCATTGCACCATGAATCAGTCACACACTCTAGACTCAGCCCTCTCTGCAAAAGACCCACCTGACTGCATGAGGCTTTGAGGGGATATCTAGACACAACCCATAACAGAGAGGAGTGCTGAAAAGCTTTGCTGAAAATCTGAGAAAGTCAGAAATGACTCTTCCACAGTTTTCAAGAGTAGGATTCTCAGTTCAAAGCCTGAGAGCCACATATGAAAAACATGAGAAAATTAGAAATGAGCCAGGTTTTACAACTGCAACTCAACTCAGACTGAGTTCAATTCCTGTTTATATTGAGGTGATCAATGACTCACCTTTTTTACCTGACAGAGGAAAGAGGACCATTTTTGGTAAAAATCAATCTTATCTGGAATGTCTGGGTTCTTTCATGTACAATGTACATTCTACAATGGTGGCAGACGCAGAAATAATTCAGATAGTCAAAGTAGTTGTTAAGTGCTATAAAATAAGTATAATTAATAATCCCAAGAAAACAAAGGAAAAAGACGAGATTAAAGAATGGACAAATTCAACAGGCAATTTGAATACATGAATTTGGAAAACATCAACTAGACATTCTGGAAATAAAAAGTACAGGGTCTGAAATTAATAAAAGTCAACAAAGGGACTTAGCAGTCATTTAGGCATTTATTATCCAAGTATTGTGCTATGTCCAAATTGAGGTATGGTGGTAGGCATGAGGGAAAATATAAAAATGCTAAGAGGCATGTGAAACATGTCAAAGGGCCCAACACATGTATCAGTGGCATCTCAGAAGAAGGATAAAGAGAAATGAGGCCAGCAGAATACTGGAGAATATAATGGCTGAAAATTCTCAAAAACTGATAATCACATGGATTAAAAAGCTCAAGGAAACCCAAGTAAGACAAATGCAAAGCAAGCATATCAAAGTGCATGATGCTCAAATTGCTACAAACCAAAACAGAGAGAGAATATAAACAGCATCTGGAAGAAATAGGAGACGTGTATCTTCAAAAGCTCAACAATATGAGTAACTGACTTCAATAGAAATGATAAAAGATAAGACAATAAAACAGAGACATAACAAAGAATAAAATATCAAAAACTCCATACCTAGCAAAAAGAAGCTTTGAATTGAAAAATATGAATCAGAAATAAAAAACAGTGGGACTTGCACTGCAAGATGTGTACTATAGGAAATACCAAAAATTGTTCCTTGTGTAAAAGAAAAATCACCCAGATGAAAATATGGAAATTCAGGAAAGAATAAAGAACACTGGAAAAGGTAAACTTGGGCAAATATAAATTGATTCTTGAAACACAAAAATAGCAATATTTTGTATAGTATAAAATACATGTGAAACTTATTAATAACAAAAATAATGGTTTGCAAAGGAGAAATAAATAGATTTAAGAGGTTCTAATGATATTAAGGAAGTAGCAAAAATGATAGTCTGAACCATTACAAATCAAGAAGGGTTATAATCCTCAGGCTAATCACTAAAAAGCAGAAAAACAATATGTTCATAGAAGAAAAAAATGAAATGCTAAAAGATGACTTACCAATCCAAAATAACACAAAAAAGGATAAAGAAAAGGAACAGAAAATAGGTGAGCCAAAGAACAAATTATTGCTGGACAAATATAAGCTAAATTATATCAATAATTACATTAAATGTTGGCTACATTCTCCAGGTAAAGGATTAAGATTGTCAGACTAGATAACATGACAAAGATTTACAAGTTTTTAAATTTACTTTTAACTACAAAAACTATAAGAAAGTGTTATTCAATCTCAACCTTAGAAGGTCTAAATTCTATCACACTTCACATAGTTGATCCAAGATTAGAAAGGTAGGAAGAGTATATCACAAGTCCAAAGAAGTGGTATTGATCTGATCCAGGCTTAGTAAGTGTTGAAGTTCTGAGATGCCTGACTGTATCTGTTTGTATTTCTTTAAGACTTAATCTAATCTAATAATGCATTTTACAAATGGAAACCGTGCAGTTTTCTGGGAAATTTGACTAAATGCCTGTTCGTTAAATGAAAGAACATCAACACCAACCAGAAAAAATTGAAAAACTGTAGTTGAGAAAAACATTTCCTGTTTCCTTCCAGATCTAGGAAGGCTTGAGTATTTTCTCGAAACAGATGTCTCTAATCTTAAAACACTTCATCTGTCATGCTATTTCCTAGTTTTAGTTTTTTGAGGAATCTCTATACTGATTTCCATAACTGGAAACTCCAGTTGACCTTGCTATTCCCTTACCAGGTATCTTCCTGAAAGAGGAAGATATCACAGTTACACATACATACTCATGTTTACAGCAGCACAATTCATAATAGCTAAATCTTGGAAGTGGCTTTTATGTCAACATATGAATGAATAAAGAAAATGTGGTATTTTTATACCACGGAGCACTATTCTGCCAGAAAGACTAAACTTTAGTCATTTGTAGGAAAATGTATGCACTTTGAGATCACAATGTTAAGTGAAATAAATCAGACACACAAGCTTAAATATTGCATGGTATCTCTTATATGAGAAATGCAAAGTATAAAAAATGAGGAATGTCAAAGATAGATAACAGGAAATAGGGAGATAGATCTTCTGCAAATGGAAGAGCAGCAAGGGAAGGATGGAGGGAGGGGAAGGGAACAAAAAAAGAATTAAGATGTATTATGTACACGTACTGACACCTTGTAAGGAATGTGATCATTATGTACTACAAACATGTACTGATAAAAAATAAAATAAAATAAATTATTTCTTGATCAGACCAAGTTCAAGGGCTAGGATGCCTTCCAAGAGAGAACCTTGGCTCAGTCGTTCCAGTGCCTGCCTCGCAAGGACAAGGTCCCGAGTCTGATCCCTGGTACAAAAAAAGAAGAGAGAGAGAGAGAACCTCAGGGAAGAGGTAGAAGGGAGGACAAGGAGGTGAGTAGATGATTTAGGATGGTTTGGAAGCCCAATTTTTCTGCTATAAGCTGCCCCTACAATGATGAAGAAGCCACACACGGATCTCTTCCAGCCTTCCAGGCCACAGCCTTGGCCCACACATGAACAAGTGGCAGGGAGAGCAAGAACAATGCCAAGAAGGATCTTGGTGGCTGTCTAGTTGGAAACCTCTAAGGCAGAGCAAAAAACCTCCCAAGATATTTTTCTTCTAATTCTGATTTTAAACAAGAGACTGGCAAACTAAGGCTGCACATACCATTGGGCATTACACTCAAAGACAAGCCTGGCTGATGTTTCAGAGAAAACTGATCTTTGTCACGTTTCATGAAATAGTTTCTCAGAAGCAAAATGACTAGGATAGATTATAAGAAGAAGAAGCCAGCCTCTTTTGAAAATGTTTAACATCTTGATGAATAAAGGTCCAAGAAATTAAGGAGAGTTGAAATGGGCATTTATTTCCTTTCTCGCTGGCAATTCCTCAATGCTAAAGTTCCTGGAAAAATTACAAAGGAACTTTTTTCTGAGTTTGCCAAGTGTGGCTCTGTACATGGAAATTATTGTCTAAGACTGGATTATTCTGGTTAATTGGCTACATTTGTTATCTGAAATCTAAGCATTGCCTCACAGGTAAATTATTTTATTGTATCATAATTTCCTTTTTTTTTTTTTTTGGTACCAGGGATCGAACTCAGGTCCTTGCGTTTGTGAGGCAGGCGGTGGAACCACTGAGCTAAATCCCAGGCCCTGTATGCTCATTTCTTAAAAATCAATAAACTCTAACATAAAAGCCATATGGTTTCATCTTTATTTAATTATTTTGAGAACCCACTAAATTTTTGAAATGCCTTACTGATAGCATCCTGCCCAATAGTTATTAATGAGATCAAAGGAAGAAATATGGTTGGACTTTCAAAACCTTCAGATTAACTCTGAAGGAATATGATTCAAATGTATTGACTATCCATATGTGTCAGGTACCATCATCACCTATATTATTTCTTTTAAACTTCATAGCCTTTTGTTTTGTTTTTCGGTACCAGGAATCGAACTCAGGACCTTGTGCTTGCCAGGCAGGCGTGGTGCCACTGAGCTACATCCCTGGCCCCCTCATAGCCTTTTGGATAGATTTTATTATCCCACTCTTACCAAGGAGGTACCTGAAAGTCCAGTGGGTTAAACAGCTTAGGTCCAATGGGTTACACTGTCTGTTTAAGGCCACATAACTAGTAATAAAGATTTGGGTAAGGGCTTCTGAATCTAAATACAGTGTTCTTTCTACTACTCTTCTTTGTCCACATCCTTATATTTATCATTTCTGATAACCACAAATAACAGCAACAATAATCCACAAAGTGGTACTTCTACACATCTTTCCATCTCTGCCTGGTGATTTCATTCTGTGAATGGATTCCATGGAAATTCTTTTTTCTCCACATTTTTATTAGTATGGATTGGTTTTACAGATTAACTGATTTCATTTTGGCAGATTTGTGGATCCACATAACACACTTTCATCATGCTCCTGATTCTCCACCTCACCCCACACTTTCCTCTAGTTTCACATGGTTTTTTTGGAGGGAGGGGAGCTTCAATGTGTATAATATATTGGAAATTCCTGAAAAATGAACTCTAAAATATCAAAATGAGTTTGCCATCATTGTGATGACTTTACAAAATAAGAGTGATGATGAAATAGGATGAAGAAGGGGGTTGAATTTAAGCGTTTCTACTGCACGAAACTCTGCTATTGAATTTTATTCATTCTTTTAAAAATTTCAATGACCAGAATTTATTTTGGGAGGCAAGAACAGAATATCCACAAGTGTGCTTTTGCTTATGGGAGCATGTGGGTATCTGTGATCATGCGTTTTCGCTCTTGTGTGTGTATCTGGGTATTTAACAGGACCATCAGTTTAGATCCACATACTAAAGGACAGATGGTCTTGATGGTTAAGGCAACTGGAAAAACAAACTGGAACTGCTGAAGGAAGCTTTTCCTGTACAGTGAGAAGTGAATATAGCATCTCTGAAAATTTCCAGTTCTGGTTGGAGTCCAGAGAGACCCTGAGTGTGCATGTAGCTCGTCTCTGCCACCTTCTTGCTCTGGCTGGGGCCCAGATTGCCCTCTGACTCTGTCCTGATGCAGCACTACACCACACCAAGGTCCGTCCCTGTGCCCTCATCTGTTCTGCTCAGGAAGCTCCTTCTGTACTGATCCCAAGAGCACCAGCTGATGTGACACCAGGAAATGCAGCCACAAGGTACACAGAGTTCAAAAGACATGGGGAAAATAGAGGACAGAGAAAGAGCCCATGCCCTTAAGGCCAAGAGGGAGAGAAGGGGGTAGGCAGGACAAGGAGAGCAGACAGGAACCATTCAGAAGTGTCGTGCTCTCTTTCCCACCTTCCAAGCCTCCACCAACACCCATACAGACATTGGCCTTTCTTTGGGTTTCCCAGCTCTCATCAGGCGGCTCAGGGCTTCTCAGGCACCAAATGATTCATTTTAATGAAGAAGAAAAACGGAGACTCAGAAAAGACGAGAAGTGGAACCTGTGGCTATAATGAATTAGCCAAGACTTGGGAATCAGAATTGTGAGGGTCCAGGGCTTCCATGGGCAAGTATCTTTGCTCCATTATTCTGACTCCACGCAACTGTTTTGCTGTGAACATGTGGTTCCTCCTCCTCATTCATTATCACTTACACCTTCCCTGGTTACTCATAGTTTTGTTTGATCCTGTGATCCAACCCTCACTCAATTTACTTCTTCATTCAACAAACATTGTTATTGAGCACTCTTATGGAACAAACATACAGCAGACAAAGTGCCCATCTACCCAGGGAAAAGTAGTAGTGGAGCTTACATTTTCGTGCAGTCAATACATCAGAGGGGATTCTCAAGATCTCCTAATGAACTCTATTCATTCACTCATTCACTTATTCACTTTGTGACTATCTCATGAAACCATCTGTTTTCAATTTTAATTTTAATATGTATACTTTAATTTCCTTCCACTCCACTCAAATCTCCCAATACAAAATGATTTCAGTATTATTTGAAAGAGAAATTCTATGCACTCTCATAAAAATTTGAAGTATTTTGGTGAAAATTCTGCAATGAGCTCCAGACTCCCAGGCATACCTAAGGGAAGGAAGTTATTGCCTTTTCCCACATTTTAAGCCCAACCAGCAGGGATTGCACATTGAGTTAGCTGTATGAGAAGCAAATATGAATGAAACACATGAGAACTGGCACGAATATACAGGACAGAAAGTGGGTGATAGTTCGGCTGAGTGGCCACCGCAGATTTCTAGACAAAGGACCACTTACAGGTAAGCATGCAAAAGTCATGTTCACAGGTGGGCTAACCTGCTGGGGAAGGATCCACAAACCCAAAGAGCATAATCCAAGGTTGATTCTGCTAAATGAGATCTACTGAGGCACCCTGCTTTCTTTCTCCAGTCTCAGGCTGTGGTGAATGATGATTCATTTGCTCTATGTTAATGGTGGTTTATCTAAAGTCGTGGTCTCCTCCACAAAATGATTTTTAAATTTTTTTTACTTCTCAGAAAACCAAAAGAATCTGCCATATTATGTACCTATGGCCCTTAAGAGGCATGAGTGGAACCTAAGACTGACCAAAAACCAAACAAGAAAAAGTATATGCCCCATCAGTTTCATTGATACTTAAGATCTTGGGCTTTGGAATAGAAAGATATGGGTTTAAATCCTGGGCCTCTCACTTAATAATTCTGAGAAAAATCATTAACTGCCCTGATTCCTTGGTTTTGTTTTCTCATACATAAGATGAGGCTAATAGGTGTCTTCAGAATATGTTGCTTTTTCATTCATTGAGTGTAAGGAATGAGAATGAAACAGTCCAGTGGACATCAATGAATTCCCTGTATCTGGAAATCAAGGCACAGTGGAATTCAAAGCCCAGAAATATATTTAATCTAGCTTGGTTAAGATTCTATCACTTGCAATTGAAAGCACTGAGACAAATACAACAGATCGGAAAGAGCCTGTCACATAGTAAGTACTCAATATATGTCAGCTGTCCTTTTTGCCTTCTCTTTTCTTCTTCTTCTACCTCTATTCCTTCATCTCCTTCTCCTCCTCTTCTTTCTCCTTTCCCTCTTCCTCTTCCTTCTCCCCTCCTTCTTTCTTGTCATCTTCTCTTTCCTTGACTTCTCATTACTATTTCCTTTTCTGACCTTTCCATTTCTCTCTTATATGTTTTATGTAAATTTTTTAAAGGTGATTTTGTTGGGAAATGTCCACCCATATGAAACCACCTCAAAAGGCACCTTGCTATCTGTCTATCTACAAGGTCAATAACCAAGATCCACAGGCAAAAAGTGGCTGAGCAGGAGTGAGTGTTTTTACAAAGAAACAAGAATAAAAGCTTCCTTGGTAACTTTGTCTCATCCTCCAATGTTCTGCATGCTGTCACTCTTTTTCATGGCAGTTTCTCCCTTGTCAGCTCACTGACGTCCTTCGGTGAAGAATATGGGAAGATGAGCTAATCTGACCCTCCAAAGGGTTTGGATTTCCCTTAAAAAATACATTCTTAAGGCTTCACCGGTCTTAGGACATCCTGACCGAGGAACTGGAGAGGACACAGAGGTGAACAATTTCTTTTTAAATTAATTTTATTTGTACATTTTAGGTATACAATGTAATGACATTCATCATTGGAAATTTGTACTTTTACATAATCTCTCTTGGTTCTTATTTTTTCCCCATTCCCCTACCT